TGAGTAAAGTGAAATGAATTTGAATATATAATCTACTGGTTAAGTAACAAATGTTCATTTAACAGATCTAACATTAAGTGAATTGAAAGAGATTATACTAATAGATTACCAGTATTCTGGAACGTTTCTCATCATTAGATCTAATTAATCGAAATTAGAAATGAACATCAGTTTCTGGGTTATTATCGATTTAATCAATATCATAATTTTTCATTTTTAACTCATTAAACATATTATTCATCATAAATATCTCTCTATATACTTCTTAGTACTGACTCGTAAAATGTTACCTCTTATACGATTATTAATACAGGAGATTGACAAGGTATTATGTTGTCGATAGTTTTACAACGTGGATTTAATTATTGTACATAAGAAACAAGTAGTAAGTATTGAATAAATCTATGTTAGACAATTGAAGTTTGAATGCATAAAGAGCACTAACTAACTAAGTTTGCACACTGTTAAGTTTGAAAAAAATATTGGTTATAAGTTATTTATAAAAACAGGTCTAGTTCTTGACTCACCTTCAAACTACCAGAACAAATACCCAGCTCTCTATGGTGAAGTACTGTTCATAAAGTATTTTGTTTTAATCTGACCATCTTTTATATGGTAATATGATCAATTGGAACTGCAAAGTCCTATTACCTATACCAAGAATTTTAATAAATAGTCTATTATCAACCAGTAACTATTTTGATACTGTGATAGTTCTTAGTATATCTTCATATATAATTATGTTCGAATTGGAATTAAATAGAAATCAAGTCTTTTCATCTATTAGTTATTCGTCTTCAGTACATTTTGATGTTTATCTAAAACCTCGTACATAGTTCTTTCGGTTAATATTTCATCAAACTTTTATAATATTAGCTTAATATTTGTGGACCACAATATCCACTTTACAATGATTATGCATATGAAATATAACAGGATTTAAGCTGGAGAATATACTTTATTATTCAACTTGAGTGATGTTAAAACTGATTCTGAAATTTATACGACCAGCATAACGACGTTCAAACAGAATATATGTATCAGAAAATGTGATAACATTTAGACTCCAATGGTGGATTTCACGCAACTTTTTAATCGATTTTATTCACTTTAAAGCAACTCATTTATTCTACGAGTCAGTATATGTTTATTGTGTATAAATAATTTTATTAATAAATTCTCATAGTTTTTACAATTTTTTCACTGAAAACTCTCTTCAATATCAACAAAATGATGTTGTCATGTAAATGAAATCCGCAATATTTTAGGTAACTTGACCTAGTTGTTCATATTATTCGAACTACCCTTAGCGTCATGATTTTGAGATAAATCACAGTGGATGAAGTATATTTCGTATAGAATTCGCATTAGGTATACATTCTACATTATTTGACCCCAAATGCCCTGGTACGGCCGAGAGTGTGAATAGTTTGCTCTCCCTCTCGAAATGCTCTCACATGGCTACGTGTATACAACCCCTGCCAGGGAAGTCCTAGTCACTGCTTTCTCATGACGGGGGTGTTGTTTACGAAATTAAGAGGACGAAAAGCGAATGTCCGGTACTTTAACCACGTCAGTGGATATGGAGGAGTTGTAAAACCCTGATTCCAAACCAATAGTGAACATGAGTTCTAGGATCCTAAGAAATCAGATGGCGTATCAACCTTATCATTGGTCACCGGCTACTCTATAACTGAATTCCTTGACGTCGCTCCACTGCCTTGTGGATTAGACCTTTAGGTCGATGGCTCCGAGTGTGGCCCCTTAAGAAAACCACCTGCCTCAGTCTAAGCATCCAAGCAGTAACACAGCTCAAACACAAATCAAGTGAATTGTGTGGCGTATATCCATTCGGTGCCTCTATGTACCAATATTTATGTGTTCAAATAAATAAATAATCTGCATTATTTTGCTTTCAAAATGTGTTACTTTCATTATACAATGACAAAATAAACTTTTTCTTGCGAATATTAATCTATTTAAATAGGAGATAAGGGTTTGTTTATCAAAAAGCTATTGTGGAGATAATTTTTTTATCTTCGTAGTTAATCGATTTCTGTTGATGTAATTAAGCATATCAGTTCACCCGTGTATATGTTTATGAATAGAACTCACTTCACAATCAAAGTTATTCACAATTTCATTATTTCCTATTGTAATTGGTAATGTTACATAAGTTGACTTGTGAACTATATGAGAAAAAATCAATAGAATCTAGCCAATGTAAAGCTTTCTATCAATATATATATACAAATGTCACAGATTGAAATCATGAGTCAATTGAAGCTAACCCACTATGGAAAACCTGGAAGCACTGCACGGCCGTTTCGTCCAAGTATGGGACTCCTCATCCCCGAGCATCCAATACTTCGCACCCGGTGGGATTCGAACTCAGGACCTACTAGGACGAAACGGCCGTCCAGTGCTTCCAGGATTTTCATGGTGGTCTAGCTTCAATTGACTCATGATTTCAACCTGTGAAATTTCTAAAAATCTCCACAAAACGCATTCTGATATATATATATATATATATATATATAACTTTTTTTCTTTAAATAGTTAAATTCATGAGTTCATTGAAGAAGCCTAGAACACCATGGTACACCATGTATTAGATCCTAATGAAATTTGTGAAATTGTTTGCAGAAACTAACAATTATCACTTCTTAGTTTGTATTAAATTTTAAAATGCTTGTTATTATGGTTAACGTTTGAGAGGTAGATCTCTCATAGTGAATAAATTGCGATTGAGCTATTTCAGTTAAAACGTGTGATTAATATTCCATGATCAACAATTAACTCATTATGTCTTAACTGTCAGCACTGAAAACCTAGTTGGTAACTGCTCACGAAACTTGTCCTGACTCCTTGTTGAATATATTTCAGAAGGCAAATCTACTGACTCGTTGACTAAGAATATATTCTTTTTAAAAAAATAAAAGCTGCAGTTTATTTACAAACCATATGATTAGTGTTGAAAGTCACAAAGTTACAAGCGACTTTTTAATACTGATCATCAAAACATAGATTTCAATAGAACTAGTAGTAGTCAATTTCATTTTACGTAAATCATCATTCTGTGGGGCGCTTTATTTTTTCGTCATTTAGATTAGACGATGTTGTCGACGGACTCTCCACTTTACTAGTCCGAGATCTGACTCCAGTTTGATCGTATGAATGATTGTTATTGAAATATATATATCTCACCCATCCTCGTATATAATCATCGACTTAAGTCGTGTTAGTCAATAACGGAATTAATTAAATCAAATAACGAGAATTGACTTTTGAATAGATATATTTTGTATGTGAAGGGAATAGAACAGCGAGAAGCGAAACGACGCGCAGTGGAGGTGGTGGGTAAGCCAACTCCATTTAGTCAAGCGTTAATCAATATTTATAGTCACACAAAAATGTGTCACAGACGTGTGATGAGTAATGGGATAGGAAATGTACACACACCTACGCGCTCATATAAAAACAGTAAAGATTGATAAGCAAATAAATAACAAGGTAAGAATGTGACTCAAGTAGAATGAATAGATTGGGCTGTCCGAAAGCTAGAATAAGGCATATGGCCTTAACGTAATAACCGACACTACAATTTTAATATCTCAGTGATAAGAGTTCTGTACTAGACTCCATCATATTTCTGCTTAAATCTTCCAAAAACAACGAGTTTTCAAAGTTGTCGTTATTCACAATTTACACTGGAAACTAGAAATTACTTACTTACGCCTGTCACTCCTAATGGAGCATAGGCTGCCACCTGGAGATCCCCTGTGGCTTCTGCCGGTTTCAAGCCGGGAAAAAGGCGGAGAGTTGAACATGGAGTTAGCGATCCCATCCTGTAGAATGCTAACTCACTAAAAAAACGCTGACCTGAAAAAATAATTCAAACTAGAAATCACTTCAAACAAAAAGCATGTATTGTGCCACACATCGAGTCAATGGATTACTGTGTTATTGTTATACATCTTTTTGACAGTTTACATTATATATTCGTATATCTATTATTTAAAAGCCTCAATGAATAATCATTAAAAAACAATGCAATCTTATCAATTTTTTTTAAAGTCTCACCTGTTATATATCAATGTTAATGTGACACCAGAGAGCACTGCCCAAAAATTCGATAATAATGAAGTATATGAAGTAAAGTTTGGTTCTTATCCCAGTAACAAATATGCCTACACATTTTCATACAAAAAAATAGCGTACGAAACCCGACACTGTTTTGACTTACATCAAAATGAATATCCGTGAATGAAGGTTTTGAGTGAATCAAAATAATCAATATACAGGTTAGCTAATTTATCAATTGATCTAAAGATTCTCTAACAAAAACCTTATCAGTATCACTTTACCTATAATTTGACGACAAAGAGTTAATGATGCTTAATTCCATTATCCACTGAGAATAGTTGTATACCTCTATCAACATAACTAACTGAACTGGAAATGAAAAAAAACCATGAGTTGCTTAATAGATCACCTACCTGTGTAATCTGTCACAGATATAATTTGAGTTGCAATCAAATAACTTATGGGGTATAATAATCAGTAGAATACGAAGGACTGATATCTATCAATATGTTTTAATAGCAATAATATCATTAAGTTTTAATACTAATACTAATAATACTAATACTACTACTACTACTACTACTACTAATAATAATAATAATAATAATAATACTGAATTGATTATTTACATGTGTAGATCAACAGAATGCACTTGTTAAGGTAAACTAACCGATTGTCTTATTATTCTATTTGAATAGTTACGTGCACCTATGAGATCTATTCAGTGATGATTGCCCTAATTATGAGTCATAGAGATATGAAATTACTCGTTTAATTTATACGAAAATAAACTAATTGTGTACATAATGTTCATATACAGAAAAAAGAGTGGTAGAGGAAAGGGATTGATGGGTATATGTGCACTTTTTATAGTTGTCATTTAAGCAAAAGAAACTTAATTGATTTACTAGATTAAAATATCTTAAAAATGATATATGTCTCTTCTTTATGATTTGTAAATGTGACAACTTTTACATCACACCAAGTATCGTTCCTTCTAATTTTGTTGTTGTTGTTGTTGTTGTTGTTGTTTTTGATGGCACTTATAAATAATGTCAATTTGTTTAAAGCATATAAAATTCTGTGAGATACATTGTTTTAAACATAGATCACCAACAATAGTTACACATAAATTCACTTTTAAAAAGACTTTACATAAGTCATCTTGTGGATTAAAATATATTGACAAGCGTACACCATCATCATCATCATCTTCAACAGGTGGTTGTCGTTTCGTAAGAAGTTTTGGGGAATTTGTAAGTAATCTTTGTTTACACGGTCTAAAATAGTCTTTTCTTTTGACTCACTATTTGCTCATTCATTAATCTGTGTATTTCAGTATTAAACTAATCTTTCTAAACTTTGCCTAATTTATATTAAAAATGTATGCAGTTTAAAGCCTCTCTTATACTTTACATTTTCATTACAGACTGTTCATTTGTTAGACTATTATAAGGATTTTTTTCAAGAATGACAAGAGTGACTTACTGCTTCAATTGTTGTAAGTAATAAATAACTCGATCCTGTGACTAAATGTTTGATAGTAAAATTCGCCAAGCAAAATGTTAGAACAACTAATCTCTTTATGATGAACAGTGTTGTGAATTTATCATTGGGTGGCTAATAAAATTACAATCAACGTATATTTCCTGTTTTATTTATGGCGTATCTATCAGGGATTCAAATTGTATTTAATTAAATGTACATGATGCTGCTCGACAATTAATGATAATGGTATCTGAATATACTTGCACCAAATAAAATACATAGATGAATACCTACCGATTGTAAATGATAATTCCTTTCTTAGTATATCGTACTACAGTCATGCAAGGAGGACATAGAAAGACAGTACTCTGTTTTGATCAGAATTGTTATTGAAATAAATACACTAAAAAAATGACTAATCAGTTAATTTCGATTAGTCAGGTAGATGAATAAACAGTCGTATTATATTTTACACACCAACAATATGAGTCTAAGTACTAGGTGAGAAAACGGGTATCCTAACGATCGACATCTGCTGTATTTACTTTTAGTTCTGTATACTGTCATTTTAAAACCCTACTCCGTAAGCCAAACCTTCTAACAAAAGTTTAATTGTAGTGCCTGAGGATGGTTTAAAAAATTGAACAGTTCATTGTCTTCGAACCTCTTCAATTAAAGCTAAGATAGTATATGTAGGGTGGTGGTTAGAGGTAGTTGACAGAAACTCCAGTCCTGGGTTTCATGCTATTTGAAACCCATCAACAAGATATACCTATAATCTTGAAAGAACTATTACTCTCTATTGGAGTTGATCCCTTTTCACTTTGCTTCATAGTCACGGGCGTTATCATCACTACTCAGTGATTGATCAGTCACATAAAGGAAGTATATTTTTCGAACATTTGCCCCGAAAACATTCATCTTTAAAAACTTCTAGTCTTTAAGTTATACACGCCAACTAGTTTTTTTGGTCTGTTTGATAAATGAAGTCATGAAACGTACTTTCTATAGGGATGATAAATTAATGAATCCTCCCAGTACCTCTTTTTTTTCAGTAATAGAATGACAGTGTTCTCATACTAAGGAAGTCAAATAATCAGGGTATTATTATTCAGAATACCAGACTATAAGTATAATACATAACGATATCAAATCACTGAAATTTGTACCGAAATTCAGTTTCCTTTTTGATGAATTTCAAGTAGGCCCAAAACTTTCAGTATTCTACCAACAATCTTAAGGATTGATCGAAAGATTTGCTTGTATTAAATTGATCTTGTTGGACATGTTTTAAACAAAATAGTAAAAAAAATAATTAAAATTTCAATAGTTGAGATCATGAGTTAATTAAAGCTAAACCACCATGGAAAACGTGGAAGGAATAGACGTCTGTTTCGTCCCATTGTGGGACTCCTCGTGAATTAGTTGAAGTTATGCATTAAAACTGTTGGATGTCAACCGACCCAGTTGTCTAGAAGTTAAGTGCTTGCGTGCGAACCGGATAGATCCTGTGTTGGAATGTCGCGAGGCGGAGTCGTAAATGCGCACTGCTGAGGAGACTCACAACAGGACGAAACGACTGTTCAGTACTTCCAGGTTTTCCATGATGATCTAGCTTCAATTGACTCATGATCTCAACTATTGAAATAACTATAATATCCACAAAAAAACCCTTCTGATAACAATTAAAATGTTTAGTCTCTGCTAAGGAGGATACTCCATAAGAAAAAATGTCTAAGCTTAGTTGACCAAGATGATTAAATACTTTTCCTTTTAAGAAATTCATCTGCTTTAAAGGTGGTTATTTTTTATCAGACACTCCTTAGATTCATCGCTACCATTTATTTATATTTGTTAATTCAAGAGGCATTTAAAGTGTGCACGTACTAAATGTTCCTTTGTCAGCTTGTATTTCTTTTTCAATTTGGATCTTAAAATGGGTACACACAAAATCTATCAGTGACTTTAGATTTTAAAGAGAAATCTTTTTCAACGTTTATCTGTTTAGAAATGTCATCCAAAAACGCATACCTTTAACTATAAGCTCATGGTTATATTGTCTAGTATACTTTGTAACGAATCATATAGTCAGGCACTATTTATTTTAATCTACAAATTTCTTTAACTCAACTAAATTGGTCCAAAACCCAAATACTGGTTATTTTTGTTTAGAGTCGATCTCTTGAACGTCGTGCTCGGATTGATTTATTTTAATAGACAACATATGTCATTCTGCCTAACAAAGCTGAACTTGTATTCACAGGCTACTACTTTATATAGACTTGATAAATGTTTTGCAAATTATTTTTGTTATAACTTGTGGTCTTGTGCCCTATTATTATATATAACGTAATGATACCTACAATTAGAGAACAGTAATTTATCGATCGGACCAATAACGCACAAAACCCGTACGAATAGTTTAGAGTCTTTATCGGACCCTGCCTGTTAAGTCCAGAACACCAACCTCAAACTACGGTAAATGAATCATGTATTTCAAGCATATTGAGTTTACATACAAAACCAAACAGACCACATCGTACCATGAAATAGAAAACAACATTTTTACAAGATCTAGACAAAACTGGTTGTGAATGTGGGAGACTGTGTTTAGTAGGCTGGGTATAACTCAAGAACATTAAGTCGTATAATAATAGTCTGTGTCAAAACAATGCTTTTCATAAGAGAAACATGAATATGCATATTTTAGCTATTTAATAATTATACAATAAAAATATATGTATCATATTGGTCCACAAATAGTTCTCAAAAGTTACCATTCATAATTCTCGTCTGGATACAACAATTTTTAAAATAGAAAGGTGATTTAGTTATTCACTATTGATCGAAAAGTTATCTGTTCAATGAAACTTACAGATTGGTATGTATAGAACTAAACTTATTCTTATCAGCAACCACAACTTGTGGTCTTACTTAAATCGTCTTAAACAATATCCTTATTGAGTGATTTAAAAATACTCAACCACTGGACTTGTCAATAAAAACTTTGTAACTGGTAGTTCATTCGCGTATGGTTTATTTATCATATAGTGAAATATAAAACAATAGTTTTCCCTCGAAAGATTTTTCTCACTAATTGGACAAAGCATATTGTAAGTCTTCCATCATGCTGGTCAGAACTAAATTTGGAGATAATGAGACTGAATTTAGAGATAAATTGTCAACCGTATCGATCAGCAGTATCCTCAGCAGTGCGCATCCATGATCCCGCCTCGCGAGATTCCAAGTCAGGACCTATCAGTCCAGCGCGCAAGCGCTTAACCACTAGACCGCTGAGCCGGTATCCAATAGTGTTAATATCTAACTTCTAAAACTACAAGTGGTTATATCAACATTCAGAAGTAAGAAATAACTATGCTATGAGATTGCATGCTAACGAACAGACGAACATCTGTTTAACATCACCAGTAGTATAAGTTACTAAATGAAAACCATCATGTTCTTAGAAAAAATTCTTTAAGTTTCCCATTGCATAGATTACATTTTTGAAGATGAATTACAAATTCTTTCTGTGCATACGCTATTGTATACTGATCAGGTTAACAAGCTTGACAATAAGAAGATTAATAATTAATATTTTCTGTTGACTCACAATTATACGTCTACATTATTTTACGTTATCACACTTATCACTTTCTGTTTGAAATGTTTGCTTCTCAAAGCCTAAGAAAAAGCATGATGGATTATCATCCACAGACACAGAAACCATGTCATCTAACAGAAAAGGTAATGGCCGATTAACTTTATTAACTGGATCGAAAAATCGGCTTACAATTGGTCGCCATCATAGTGTACAGTACAATAAAGAAAATGAACAGTCTACTAAAAATGACCAAAATTGTTTGGATCCAAATAAAGTTGGCAAAGAGAATTTGAATGTTGGTTTACGACGCAATACTGTCGGTACTACTACTAGTGCTTTTAAATCGATTAGAACACGTGGTTTGATGGAGTTGAGAAAGTCTAACAAAAATAATAATGTTGAGCAAACGAAGAAACTAAAGTCAGGTAATAGAATGTTTTTGAGAAATTCGTTATTAATTTATTACTCGTAACATAATTTTTGTTCTTTTATTTATGCAATTTATGTGAAGTTATCTAATTTTTGGAGATGATTTACATCAGTACATGACACAAACTGGATGACAGCCCCTTGGAAATAGATAATATCAGAGATTAGTTATATTGGGATTCAGTAGTAACGGACCAGTCAGACTCAAAGCAGAATCAGAATTTCAGATTCTGTAATAATTGTGTTTTTTTTTGGTCATTCATTTATCAGGGTTTTGTGATTTTAGTCAGTCTTTCATATGGCACAAGTATTGTCGCTGAATATACATAGTCGTTGTCAACTCAGTCTCAGCCTACAGATCAATCGTTCTAACAAAAAAATGAATGAAATTTATTTCCTAACAAGTGACAAATGATATGCGATCTTATTTCTACTCAGCTGCACCATCAGTACTTATCTTACAGGGTATTGAAATTAGATCATTGGTCAGGGATCCTGTTTTTGATTTATGCGATATAAAATCAATTGCAATATTTAAACCACGAACTGATATTATTTTGGCCATCACTGAATACGGGGGAGCACTGAATGACTGTTCCATCCTAGAATGGGACTACTCAACGGTGCGCATCCACGGCTTCACCATAAAATGTCAAACCTATGACTTACAATTTCGAGAACGAACGCTCAACCTTTACACTGATCTAGCTAAGAATACTTCATAATTGAAAGCATGAAGATTCTAAGATTCTCACAAACACCTTTGTACTTGTTATTACATGATTGTTCCATTATTTCACCTAGTTATAATGATTATTTAATTGACTTCTAATTAACTGATCGTTGTGGTTCGAGTTCAGGAATACATGGTTGAATAAATTAATAGAATGGGTTAGAGAAATTATCAAATAGTGATGATAGTTCCTAAAGTTGTAAAAGGTGTTCTTTTATAGAATACACTACTTGTCTTTTCAGTCTAGACGAAAATGAAACCGATTAATTTACTTGTATGTACTATTCATCATACATACAAGAGATTGTAAAGATGAAATAGATTTTCTATTGTGTATCATGTTTAGGGACACTTGAACACAAATATTTTTTATTAGATATTACTCTATGATAAATAGTGTTCGTGTATTATGGATCGTTCTCATTCTTCATTTCTTTCACATTATTCTTTAGAAAAATCCAAGTCTATAGATGATTCAGCAGTAGGATTGATACATTTTCGAAAGCTTACTCTAGATGATAATAATGTACATAAGATAACAGATTGGAATCAAATTCAGATTAAAAGTGAAGAATGTGTTTTCCAATGTCAATCATATGATCAAATAGTTGATGATCACTTTACAGGAATAAGTACTAGTCAGGAAAGTGATTTGTATATATGCAAAAAGGATAGAAGATTGATAAAATGGTCTGTTTTAGAAAGTACCAAAATGATGACAGCGTTGTTCTTTGATGAATTACCAATAATTTTTGAGAAAGAGATTAACAATGGAATAGCAGGAAATGAAATTCTTTCTGAATGCTATCGTGATAATAATAACAATAGTTCCAACGAGAAAGTAAAACCATACTATAGTCATCGCTCAGTGATTTCACTGCCACGATCTGCAGCCGATGAACAACATTTGGGGGAATTTTACTTAAACCATGAACGCGTAAGTTAGTCTTTGTTTTAATATTCGAAGTAAATGTTTCTTTGAGGTTCAGTAAGAAAACGTGCTGTGATAAACACAACTACATATGGATCAAGTGATATAATTTAAGTGTAGCTAATAGTTTGAGTTAATTAAATAATCTTTTCATTGGTTAAGGAGTTATCAAAGACCTTGAAGATTGTAGTTTAACACTATTAACTCTCTAAGGTGATTCATTCTTTAAAGAAGCACTTGTTTAGCTGTTTGTCTGATATCTTAAAGGAGTCTTAAACATCAGTCGAAGGATTCAAAAAACCAATGCAAATGAATTTATATTAGGCTGTTTGATAGAAAAGCTATTTATGCATGTATCACAGTGTGTAATTGTTTATCCAGCGTCAACATTGTACATATAAAACTGTATTTTGGATATTGAACAATGGACTGTGTGTTTTATCTTTATCCATATTTGGTAAATAATCACTATTTTTCTCATTTTATTCATGGCTACTCGCCCGACGCACAGATTTTTCGTTACTTATTCATCCAAGATTTGAAAGCGGCTTCGTATTATCAGGCGAATTTCTTGGAACGACATGGTCTGACAGAAACTGTAAGAGCAACTCTTTGCGATTGGATGATAAGAGTGAGTTTAATCATTAATAAGATGAATTTTTTTAGAGATCTCGTCTAATCGAGGGATTATTTATATTCGGAATTCGCACTAGTTGGGAAACAATTTAAAATCAGGATTGTGCTAAAATCCAAAATAACTGGATTTGAAAGTGTGCAGAGTTTAATTCCAACCCAAAAGTCGAACAGTATTGTGATCCCTACATGAGCTGAAGGTCCTATACTATCCTGTGAATAGGGTTCATATGTCCTAAACTATGATGAAACAGCCGTCAAATCTCCCTAGTTTTTTTTCTGTAGTTTTTCAAGTGATGCCAGTTTGTGATCAAAGTAACATAAAATATTTTTTTAGTATTTTAAATATTATTCCCATCTAAAATCTTTCTATGAATAACAATAATGTCTAGAACAGAACTTGTACTTTTATGTTTTATTAACGCCAATAATGTATTTCGAAAGCTTAATCAACACGATGTTTACCACAACACAATGGTAGTTAAACTGGATTGATGAATTGTACTGGACGAGTTACTAATTAAATTACTATAATCATGGCATTACAATATATTTTACTTTTGAATATTTACTATAGCCTAGCCCCTTTACTTGCGATTCTTGTGTTCTTTGCAAATACACACAAACAATTAAAAATAAGATGAATATGAATTTAAACGTATGGAAGTAATTGCAACTTACATAGCGGACTACTCTCAAAAGACAAGACTATAGAAAACTTGGAAGTATTTATCAGGTGTTCTACCATAAGTTGGAACATCCCACCACTGTTAATTATAAAATCATAAGCAGGATTATACCAAATAATCCTTAGCTAATGTAACTAGATAAAGTATCTTAAGACTAATGACTTGGATTCAGAAAGTTCTTATTTCTGACTTCAATTAATTAGTAACGGAGTGAACATTATAGAATAACATCCATAAGTTACTATTTCATTTATGATATTTTTGACTTTATCAGTCACAATCCTTCATAAGAAGTATCTCTAACACAGTCAAAGGAACCACCTATATTAATGTGAATAAAACTGTCCTATTCAATTTATGATATTGAATAGTGCTCAGTAACTTAGATTAAAAATTTAACGAAAGTTACATCAGAAACTTCAAGTGAGCTATCTTCCCGTATCCATAAGGAATACTATTCATAGAAACATAGTGGAAGTTTTAATGCAACTGACGGGTTAATATTAGGAAGATATAATGTTTCAACGTATAATTAGTGAAGCTTCAAAAGCTGTGATGAACAATCTTGAATAATCCAACTGGAATGAACGATGACTTGGTAGGAAAACCAATTGATTATTTTGTGCAAAATCACACTAGCGCGGTAAAAAAAAATGAAAATCATACATTAAATACATTATTTACACATCTTTCTTCAGTTGTCCTTTACATGCTCCATGATTCTTCCAATCCAGTTGTTTCACAATTGCTTACTATTGCCGTTCCTGTTCTCGTCAGTTCAATCTTCTGCTGACAGGCATTCTACTTCCGATTGGTGCTAAATACTACTTATATCTGTCAGCATAAGTAGCGTGATCATCAACAAGTTAACGAAAATATTAACACAGAACTGCATTGACTTCATATTGTGTAGAAAATGATTAAATCTAATTAAGTTACTAGCATAGAAACAGATTACTCAGATTATTGAACGAATATTTTTCTACCATCAACTAATGTAGTTAGTTCAAACTGACATGTTTAAATAAATAAAAAAACATCCAAGCAAAGAATACCAAATCTTTCCATTCAGAATACATCTTAATAGTAATGAATTCTAGTCATTCGACTTCATATACAGTATGCTTCCAGTTTGAGTCACTTAGCTAAATGATCTTAATGTGAATTTGATTACTTACATCTAAACAGTACTATGGAACAAAAAAGATAGAATTGTTACCTATCTGCTTAATCACTTATACTTTAAATTCCCATAAACATTATCTTTTGTTTCAATTCTAGGTACAACAGTATTTGAAATTGCGCACAGAATCATTGCATCTAGCTGTCAGTTTAGTTGATCAGTATACCTGGAGACAAATTACTTTATATCCGTCAGAATACCAGCTACTTGGTGTTACAGCAATATTTATTGCTGTTAAATTCGTTGAACGCTTCCCTCCAGCAACTAAAATTTTGTGTTATTTAACCGAGGATTCGTATAATTCTAAACAGGTAACTACTAAATTGACTTGATTAAAGTATTTTATTACTTATTTGATATATAATAGTAAGGATAATCATGCAAATTACCCATCAGGTGCAGATTTGTGTACTCAGGTTTGATCAACATACATAGAATAAATGTTAGTGATCTTATCTGGTTTTCAAACGGGTGTAGATGGAGATAGGTTTTGAGACCTCAGCACAGTGGATATCAACTCGAAGCATTCGATCTTCATGATGTGTTATTGGACAAGATAATATGCAATCTGAATAATCATATTTATTCTACTTTCAGTTATATAACGGCTGATTCCGTCTGTAAGCTTTTCATCAGTATTCATATAACTATTTATATACATAAACTTTCTGATCCATTATCAGTGTTAAGTGTAAATAAAGACTCTAATCAATTTTGTTGATATACTTGCGACATATTACAAAGCATATTTCTAACTTATGACGAACTAAGTAGATAGGAATCAAATGGTCTATGTGTTCACGTAATTAATAATAATAATAATGCTGTGTGACTACTGATGTTTGATAGGTTGTTTTTAGGATATCAAATTTGTAGTGTTATCAACAAAGTGGTAAAATAACACTCCCATTTAGATAGTTTACATAAGATGTTCTCTTCAATCAGCAGAATCTACCAACTAACATGTGATCACTTTCATCTTTGCAAGGACAAGTAAATGTAGTTCAAAATGAGTGTATTATAATATGATTCAGAGTTTGTATTACATTTAGTTTCAATAGTTAGTAATAACTAACTGTAAAGTGCCAAAACTGTGGTCAATTACCTCACCGATTTTTGTCTTCCAACCAGCTTCTCGGGTATCTTCAATTGTAGTTGAATAACTTGTCATCTACTTTACAATCTACCTCATCACCATTACGATTCATCCGTCTGATCACTCCAATTAGATCAATAAACTTTAAACAATTTACGAGGGTAACTTTCATTCTTATTTTATTTGCATGTTTGGACTACTAGGTTTTTCAGTCACTGCACAAAAGTTGAGAATTATGATAGCAGTTCACAAAAGATTAGTTGTAAAAAGCTCACAGAAACAGTATTTATAAGCGCAATATCTCTTAGTCATTACTTACTTTAGAAATTGTTTCCATGATGCCTAGTAGGTGGAACTGGTTCTCATCTAAGCTCTCCCATGGCATGGCTGCTTCTGAATCTGGTGTTATAACATTCAATACAAACCACAGAATAACAAATGATCATTAAAATTGAAGCAGCAGAGGTGAAACATATTTCAGATATTTTTTCCCGGCAGCCTAGTCTGAAATTTTTCACGTATACAACACGATATTAGGGCGAACGACTTGCCTGGCCCTTCCAGGTCTTCAATAGCTCTTAAGACAAAGTCAGTACAGCATGTAAACAATGAATCTAGTTTGACTATTCTACTTTACTTTGTGTTTTTTTACTTACAAAGGTGCTAGATTTTGAATTTAAAATGTTAGAAGCATTGGATTTTGATATCAATATACCCTTACCGCATCACTTTTTAGATCGTGCATTTACAGCTTGTAATGATCTAACTCTAACTGGCAAGACAAAGGTAAGATTTATCTTAAATATAGGAATAAAAACTTAATTACATTCGGTATCTTTATCAAGTTATTTTTGCGTACGATAGGTTAAGTATGATCGATCCATAATACTTTTGTAAAAGAACTCTGTAAACTCCCTATAGTAAATATTCATGTATTCTCTGGCGTCTAATTTCGACGGATAATTCCGGAGTTCTAGTGAGAAGCCATAATCAGCGAAGTTCAACAATGCCGAGTGTATAGTAGCTGCCCATCCAATACATTGGAAGGTGATTCAACGTTATTATGCATTGGTAGCAGTTAGACATGTATACAATTGTACGCCGGCTCTATGCTCTAGAGACTAAGTGTACGTGCGCAAAACCGAAGGTCTTGGGTACGGACCACTTGTTGTGGGATCGTAAATGCGCACTGCTGATGAGTTCCGTACTAGGACGAAATAGATCTCCAGTCCTTCCTGTTTCTTATTGGTTTTTTAAATAATAGTGAATAATAATGACTAATTGTAAGGATGCTAACTATGATGTTATAAGATAACGTTTGTCTAGATACTGTAGAGAATCTTTTTGGAAGAGTTATTACTGGAACAGAATAGCTTATTTTGACACAAGTTAATATTGAGCAGATTTCGTCGATACTGGCAATTGGTTAGGTTACGCCTAGCAGTGAAATTCAAGATGCGTGTTTCATCCTCTGATGCTCGTCAGCTTGATGTATCTGGATCCTAGTGTTTATGTTCATATTAAGGCTCAGGACCTTTCACATTCGACGTCGGAATAGCCACCCACTTGTTCAACGGATATAAGGTTACTTGTAAGGGTTTGTATTTTACCACTTGATTGACTTAACAATTTGGTTGACACACGAGTGCAGATACTAATGTAATAAGAGCAGTAAGCTGGAACAGAGCTAGAGACGTCTAACCAAAACAAGGGATCAGTTCATGAAAGTCATCGACAAAGAGATGGAGAATATCTGGTTGGGTTCCACGTGATCGTGATCAATGGCTGAAGACCTTGGGTGACATGGATTAACGTCTTCTGCAATGGCGCAAATACATTCATTCTTTGTACTTCCAGAGTTTCTAAATCTCTTCATACTTTCACCTGTACCCTTTTTGTACTACTGCTGAAATTGCCACTACTTCTTCTACTCCGAGGTTCGTTTTCACAATTTTTCATCACTATGCTAATGTAGTGTGGCAACTTGAACCGAAGAACATATGAACAAGGTTTCGTGTTGCATATGACTAACCGACTGATGTAACAAAAAGAAGCTTAATGTTGAAGATTTTGAGCCAATTAAACCGCTCGATTTTATCAGAAATTTAAAAATTTTAGGTAGATATTTAAATGAGACAGTTTTGTATTTCAATTTTCAGCTCTTCCAAGATCTATACTGTTTTAATTCCATTTGATTTTGCTGATGAATTCTATGCTGAAGAAATATTAAAGTTTGAGTATATAATAATCGATTCATCTCCGTTTAAAACTCTCCATCTACATGTAGCCTTAAGCCTCATACGCTTCAACGTTACCTACGTATCTTGCGATGAGCATGACAATGTTTCGAGATCCAATTATAATTAAATAAACCAAGTGAAATAATGATAAAGTTAATTTGTTAAAAGAGACTCGTTACATTTCGCTTTTACTAAGACCTGTAAATTATTGACGCGGAACAATAAAAGTGACAAGAAAACACAGAGCTATACCTAACAGTCAATCCAACTAATGATTGTCATGTTTAGTTATTGGATAAATGAGATAACATAAATACTGGGATTTCACGGAACTAACAGATAAGTAAAACAGCGTTCCAAACAAGTATATGTAAAGTTGGTGACTTAAAACGTAACAAAATTTTGGTCCGAATAATAACCAATCCTTAGTCACAACTTCAACTAACACAGTTATTCTCCCGAAAATGAACTAGTCTTTTGACTAAGGATATCTTAGGAATCCGAGTTGGTCTCTATAGGAAAGAAAACATGATTCTTTGTACGACAGGAAGATTACAATGGATCAAGGTTATCAGTCATTAGGTTGCTTGTTCGAACTTCACTTCTACTACAATTTGAGTAGGCCTAATGCAAAATATGCTTCTTGTGATAGAACATATTAACATGAGTCCGTTTACGAAGTTACACTGAAATTTTCAAAACCGGTGTCTTGCAATTAGATTAGTTTAGAAGTATAAAAATTTTTGTATTCTGACCTAATTATTAATAATAATAATAATAATAATAATAATAATAATAATAATAATAATAATAATAGGCAATTGGTGATTCAAAATTATTCTCTGCTTCTCTCCTAAAAATTTATAGATAGAATTAGTTTGTCGTTATCTTTTCGAATTGAACTTAACTGAACTATCAACTGCAGGTACTTCAGCCAGTGTAAAATGCGCAGCTGGCGTCTACTTGGCACGTGAACTTATACGATTAGAGTATGAAAATGGAAACAGTGAAACAGATGATATTCAGATTGAAAATAATGGCAGTTTGGGTTTATCAGTAACATTTGAAACATGGCCAAAAGCACTTGGTCTAAGTATGGGACATGAGGATGTTACCAATCTATTGCCAATGGTACTTATATATGTGCAGAATATTATACGAACATTACCAACCTCCGATATAAACAACAGAAATTACGAGGTAAGTAATAAATCCAAAAAGAAAGTGTAACAAAAAAAGGAATTTCGAAATCGGTACGTTTAGCACTAAAGGGTCATTCTTAAATAGATATAAGTAGCCACAAAATCGTATGTATTAAGTTCTAGAAAAAGGAGTGCAACAATACTGATTGTCTCAATTATTTATGTTATTCACGCGTCACTATCTGTTGGAAACGAAGAATGAGTGAACAATAACTTGTTGACTAAATAGCAATAAGGTGATACTGATTTATTCTGATGATTATGCATACAAGTTGACAGATCTCGGTAAGCGGAAACTACAGTATACAACCAAATAACCACTTGGTAAACATTGGTGTATATCGGTTGATTACTGAGTGTCAACTAGTATCATCCTTAGGTGATATGTAATGTATTGAGACGCTGGATTGAGGAATGTTTCAGAGCGATACAAAACCAATCATCAGTATTTTGAGACGTTAGGTATTTAGTCTGTTTTCAAGAGCTTATAATCACCACACAGGCTTGTTGCCACTTGTAAGCGTTCATAACTAGGAATCTATGGGAATTCATACTGTTTCAAAGAGTTGAAGATCCGTCACTTATCATGAAACTGGTTATTATTTTTTATTTAGCGAATAATTTGTGGTCATACTCAGTAATGAGATGGAGTCTGATTAACCAGTGGATTAAACTGAATAACGTATATTCGAACCACCGGAAAGCTTGCGAATTATGTTTGGAGGATACTTTTACTTGATTGGATTGCCATTATAAGACATAAACGAAGTGAAATTCACTATCCAAATTTCGGAGCCACAGTTACTGTATTAGGGTTAAATGATACTATCTACAATGTTCCAAACTTCTGACTTATTGTGATGTTGAAACTTCAGTGAAGAAAATAACAAGTTACATCTTTATTGTTCGCTCGGCTACGATTATGACAGGTATATGACTCTATGGTGAAGTAAGCAAAAATACTGATTTGTAGATGTGTTTAGACAGCAAAAGAGTACACAAACCTGAACGGCAAGAATAGCTTGTTCGAATGTAATCAGTAATCTTCACTGTTATATCTACCATCGAGATGGTTTGGTACTTAAAATGATAGGCTTTCGTCCAATGAATATCAGGGTGAAACCCATCTTCGCCTATTATTCGGTTCCAAGATCCGAGGTGTATCATTAACCGTCACATGAGAATGTATAAAGTTGAGTACACTAATATTATGTACAACTTGATATATATATTAAGATAATACCATGTAATAATTAATATACTATGAGTATACTCATTGAGCCACTTCATTTTTACCACTCATACGTTTTAACTAACTGATCAGATGGTAGAGATTAAGCACATGTTTATTTTACTAATATTTATTCACAGGCTGCTTTTCATAAGTTCAGTAATCGAAGCTATGGCCGAATAGCTCAATCTAGCTTGCTTTTGAACGCTGATTATGATTTCATTGTACAAGGTATCAGAAGAAAAATGATATCCAATTCAAAGCGGACAAATATGGACTGTCCTGAAGAAAGTCGGGATGTACAACAAACAACTTTAAGAATGAAAATGTGATAATTACAATTAGTCCTACTATTATCCAGATAGAAAGATTCAAGATCAAAATATCCAGCTCTATCAATCAGTTACACTTGGACAAAGATACCAAGGAGAAAAAATCTTTCTTAAAAGTTAAATTAACATTTGCTTCTTCCACCTGTTTATTCATCCGACGTCCTACAATACATATTGTTGCTTTTCTCTGAAAAATTACTGCATAAAACTGAAATAACTTCGATTCGTCGAATTCGCTATTTTCATCAACTACCTACCTTCTTTTTTCTTTTTACTGAGTGGCATAATATATATATTTTTTATCATTTAGTGTGTATATTCTTGTTGAATAGAACTGTAACTTAGTGACTTGTTTGTTCACTGTAAAAAGATGTTAACGATCCAAGAACTTCGTTCATTGTTTATACCCTTGCGTAAGTACATCACTTGATTGAATTAGGCATCATTCTTAGTTTGATTTGGCGATAATTTTTCAAGTCAATATTAACAGTTTGTAGAAACGTCCATGATTGATTGACAGGCCAACAACCACAGCAACCAGTTTAGAATCATAAATCTAAATTTACAATTCATCACTGCCACGTTGATCTAGTATCATCTTAAACGGTAAACTTATTTTAATTAGGAGAGCCTAATAAAGGTTCGACGGTATACCTCTTTTTTTAATTTGTCTATATCCTTGTATAATTGAGATTGTAAGAAGTTACTCATTATGCTTTATTCAAAATGTAATGCTGAAGGTGGCAGTATCATTCATTAAATAAAGTGCACCAGTTGTAGCAAGCATTATATTGACCAAAGTGGATTCACCTATTATTTGTGTATAGATGAGCACAGATTATTAGTGTGAAGATAGAACATATTGCATCAATATGCGTAGATAATTATGGAGAAGAATTTGATTGGGGAAATGTAGAAATTCTAATTCGAAAAAATAAGGATCCTAGAGGATTCCTAGGAGATAATCTGAAATCACTAAGAAATGTCGACGGTGACCTGACTTATCAATTAACACAGGTAGGGTAAGTTAGGTAGCAAGTTTCTAATTGAACATGACAGTCAGCAGGGACACATTGATGAATGAATAGTCAAATTGCTCAATTCTATATGACATAATTCCCGACGATGTAGTTCAGGACGCTAACGGAGGCTTCACAATTCAACCACGCAGATGAAGGAACACATTCTAACCAAAATGTTAATACATTTAATACAACTAAGTAGCTACGCATAAGTCTTATATTCGGCTCAAATAGGCGGGTTTTTGTATAAGACTTAGATATATCACCTGATATATGGGGAAGGGAGTAAAAACGATGTGCAAATCGATAACTGAAATTCAAATGAAGTCATGATCATTATTGATAGTAACTATGAAAAGTATCGCGAACAGACGAACTGAAAATATCTAATCACATTTAATCACAATTGATTGATCACTGGGTGGCGATCAATCTCATGCGTGTCTAGTCCTTATTAGTGAAGATCGAATTCTATCGATCATGTTGCAATGTGGCCACTAGTCTAGGTGACTCGACACTGCGGACACTATATATTGAGATTAGATGGAGGTCAGTCGCGGCTCGGATAGCTCAGTGGTAACGTTTCTGACTGTGAGGGTGGGTGACACGAGATCAAATCCGCCAGGGAGCACCAATTCCCTCAAGATAGCAGGAACACCTTTCTAACGAGTGCCAAGTAACACGAAACCCGGGTCCAGGGATTCCTGTCGACTATCTCCAACCACCATCTAGTCTAATCACATTTAAGCTAGTGAATAAACACGAGAGAACAGCCATCGATTATTAGTATCTTCTAAGCAATAATCATGGTTTATCAAACAAAAACTATTGTTAGTTACTGTACTCATCAGTGAAAAGTATAGTTCTTATTTTTAACAGAATTCATATGGAGAAGAATGTGATACAATGAAAATACTCTTGATGTTAGTGAAAGGAAAATGAGAGAAAAAAACAGGTACACAGTAAACGTTAATTCCAAAAAGAAACTTAGGTTTCTCATCACAGATATAAATATTTATTTATTTAGATATATAATTTGTATATACAGAAAAACCTGAATACTAGAATACAGCAGTTACATTTTATTTTTAATGGTTGATCCAGAGTTGATCTAGATCGAATAATTTTCAGGCCCTGAACGCAAACAATAAATAAGGTAAGCTTCACCATTTGATTTATATAATAAATTATTGTTGTGTATATGCCTGTAATTTTCAGAGGAAAAAAATAAAATATAGTATAAATACTGACTTTGAAAATATGAGTGAAAAAATCATTTTATTTATGTAATTTATCAATAATTTAATGGTTTAATTTATGAGCCAAGTCAAGGTAGACCATCATGGAAAACCCGGAAGCACTGAACGGCCGTTTCGTCCTAGTATGAAACTCCTTGGCAGTGCGCATCCACGATCTCGCTTCTCGAGATCCGAACCCAGGATCTATCAGTCTCGCATGTGGGCGCTTAACCACTAGACCACTGAGCCGGCATCCAACGATATTAATGGTTTCTAACAATGTTATGCATTCAATAGGATTTTCCGATTGTTTATTAATATGATTTAGGTATTTGTTTATTGTGAAATAGGAATGAAGAGCTTTTGAGAAGAATCAAAATAGAAAATGTCATAGATAGACAAATATGAAGAGATATGATAACAATTTAAAATAGTAGGTGTTATATCTAGAAGCTCAGTTTCTCATAATACCACGTACAACTAGAGCACTCGAATGCCAGAAACCAAGTCGCAAATGAGAAAACAGGACACAAGTGAAAGGAATGCTATTCCAAACAGTGTCATTTATGGTACAGAACTGTCAGATATTTATAATTTTTAGTAAAAACGAAATCATCATTACAGTCCTCCAATCCGCATAAAGGGGGTTATTAGCCAATAGGGAAGATATACATAAGGATTCTGGAATATTCTTCCAAAAAATGATTGGATCGAATATCTTCAACTCTTTCTGAACATCTTAGAGCTTTCTCGAGTTCACCCGTGGACCATCCTCACAGTAGGATTTCTGATTAAGGCCTTCATGATGAAATATTGGATGATGCAACTCAAAATTGATTACGATGTAGTATTTCTATTGGTTGTATATTATCTAGTAGCCTGCTTAGACTTATTTCTTAGACGATGTAAATACTGCCTGTTCTAGATTTATTTGAACTGAAAATGAATATAAATCATAAGTGCATTCACAGGGTATTACGAAAGCCTTAAAGCCTATAGTGATGCGATATACTGGAAATCACAAAATGGAATACTGCAATTTTTGGTATAGTCCCCTGATTGTCCACCGTTTATATAAAAAAAAGACAAGAGATGACTGTATTGAAATTCATGTACTGCTCAACATCTGATGGATGAAAAAAAAGGCGTGACACCTGAATTGATAATAAAGTTTCGCTACTGGAGATGAATAGGAATTACTGACTATTGGAGAAATAATTTTTATTATTTACATCTTCACATTGATTTGTTTATTCTGAACATGTATGAAGGATTATCTGAATCATTAAAGTATATCTTCCATTCATTTTAATACAACTAATCCTAGCACATAAAAAGGTGTAGTCGAAAGCCGAGGATATGAACATTTGTGTGACTGTTAGGTTGCATGAAACTAACAGCAAGAATCACTCGTAACAGATTGCTGATTAACTGCATGAGAGATTCAGTAGATGCTCAACTATGAGATCAACAGACTGGATTCCTTAAGGATCAGTCGTGCACAAACCAAATTTCGACACTACGGATCATCGTCGAACAGTTAATTGAGTGGAAGTCGTTACCATACATCAACTTCCTTGATTATGAGAAGGCGTTTGACAGTATGGACAAGCGAATCTTATAGAAACTTCTTCGACACTATGGTATACATGAGATCGTCAACATCACACGAAATTCATACAACGGACAACACTGAAAAGTCATGCATGGAGGACAGCCGATAGACGCATTCCAAGTGAGGACCGGAGTCGAACAAGGCTGCCTACTCTCTCCCTTCCTCTTTCTTCTGGTGGTTGACTGGATTATGAAGACCTCGACATCTGAGGGAAAACACGGAATACAATGAACAGCTCGGAATCAATTAGAAGATTTGAACTTCGCAGATGACATGGCCTTTCTATCCAATACACATCAACAAATGCAGATGAAGGCAACTAGTGTATCAGCAGCCTCTGCATCAATAGGCTTCAAAATACACAAAGGAAACAGCAAGACCCTCAAGGACAACACAAAGAACGTCAACCCAATCACACTTGATGGAGAAATTCTGGATGATGTGGAATCTTTCATGTACTTGGGAAGCCTCATCGATGAATAAGGAGGTTCAGATGCAGATGTGAATGTAAGGATTAGTAAATCAAAGATGGTGTCCTTACATTTGAAGAACATATGGGACTCAAAAGAACTGTCAGACAACATCAAAGTCAAAATCTTCAATACAAACGTCAAGACAGTCCTAGTGTACGCAGATGAGACGTGGAGAACTACTACAACCATCATCAGAAAGGTACAAGTATTTATAATTAATTGTCTACGCAAGATACTTAATCTCCGTTAGCCGGATACCATCACTAACAGCCTACGGCGGGAGAGAACAAACCAACTACCAAGTAAAGAGGAAAAAACGTTGGAAGTGGATAGGACACGCATTGAGAAAATCATCAAACTGAGCCACGAGGCACACCCTAACTGTGCTGAGAATTCTATATTGTACCAAAATATAATATTGAATAAAGCCATTAATAATAATAATAATAATAATAATAATAATAATTATTATTATTATTATTATTATTATTATTATTATTATTATTATTATAACTTGGAATCCTGAATGGAAACGGAAAAGAGGAAGGTCAAAGAACACTTTACGTCAGGAATAGGAAGACATGGAAAGAATGAATAGCGACTAGAAAGGATTACCCAGGATAAGGATGGATGGAGAGTGCTGGTTAGCGGCCTATGCTTCTCGACGAGGGGTAATAGGCGTAAGTAATTACGTGACCTTCAGATCAGAGTTGCAGTTCAATAAGATTCAGTAGGTAAGTTGTTGCGGTATCAGTTACATGCGGAGAATCTATGAATACCACCAAACTTTCTTTTAGAAAACAATAATATATCACTCACTTATTTCAGCACCATATCATTTATAGACAGTTGTTTTATTATTGTTAGCAGTCGCACCAACTGGTAGACGATAATGTGAGGGATATGGAACATGTTTCATTACTGCAGTATTGGTATTCATCATCGATGATGTAACATTAATATTATTATTATTGCTGCTACTACTAGAATGACCAGTGTGTACAGTTGATGAATAAACATTATTCCCTGACGAACGCA